TTATACTTCAGAAATTCGTTGGTCTGCCCTTTACCTTCGGCCCTTGGTGCTCACAGTCCCCCTGTGGTACTTGCTGGACTGGACTGGGACTCTCTAGACCCTTCTCCTGACTGTAGGCAGTCGTACCGTCGACTCAGTGCAGTTGCACCGAGGTCCTACCTGTTGACCTTGCCACTTGTCTTCGTCTGAAAAACGTGGGCCTACCTTAGACTCACCACTTGMCCACTTGCCGACCTTCTAGAAGGACTAAAGCTGGGCTTCTGGACTCTACTTGGACTCCTACCCTACAGGTCTACAGTTCGAATCTTCCTACAGCCTACAACCTACGGTGACCTACTTACCACTGGCTATCGTGCAGGTCACGGGTTCAACTCCAGGGAACTGTACAGATACTGTACACAGGTAAGCTGAGGTCAAGGGATCGACCCCTGGGATCTGCATCGGCTACTGCCAAAGGTGAAAACTGTTTCACTTGCTCCGTAGCAACCCTCGCGGGCTCTTTTTGGAACTCCATCAACTCCGCCCACAAGTCAGAATGTTCCTGGTTGTTCCACTCACCCCCAATCTGCCTCAAGAAGTAGCGCATTGCATTTTGCATCACTGCACTGTTCTGATCGAAGAGCCAGCGTTCATTCCGCCGCCGTGGATCAAGAACGAATGCAGCTGCATGAACCGGCTGCCTCATCATTTGCACGCGGTCACGCACCTTTTCCATGACATCCTCCCGCTCCTTCTGCGTCAGCACCACGTTCGTCAATTTCCGCCGAATCATATCATCGTACTCAACAAGATTGGTGGGAGGCGTGCCTTCTGCATCCATTCTTTTCAGCAACTGGAAGATAGGGTGCATGATGTCCACAATCTTCCTCACCTGCGGCCACCGTGCCTCCGACCTCACTGTGTAGTACACGAGGACGGCTCTCCTGCGCAACTTTTCCCCTGACCATCTCAATGCTCTCCACTTTGACGCCGCCCTCCCATCCACCATCGTGACAAGAACATCCTCTCTGTCTGCTAGTCGTTGAAGCATCTGGTACACAGATCTGAACCGCACTTTTGTCGGACGAAGTAAGGACAACGAGTCATCGACGGTCATCATCAAGTCGTGTGTGGCGTGATGATTCCGGATGAAATTGACGATTGTGTTCGCGGTTTTCACTGTGCCCTTGATCCACGACAGGTTGGCCAAATCCTTGAGAAGGAGACTGCAGCAGTGTGCCCCGCAAGGAACCCACAGAATTCTCGCCACGTCCTTGTCCTTGCGCCGTTCTAGGATTTGCGCCGCCTTCTTGTTAACTTCGGCGTTGTCGGTGCAGATCGCGTTGATGCGTTGCAGTCCAATCTCCCTCATTACCTGCTCCCATAGCTTCGCCAACGCCACTACATTCTTCTTCCTGCCACTCATTGTCACCGTCGTCACGAGCACCGCCCCTTGTTCCCCCGCCGCCAAGAAGTTCATCACTGGCCGATTCTTGAGGTCAGTTGACCCGTCAGTGATGAACGTGCATCCAGTCGAGTCCCAACACCTCGTCATCGGGTTCACCTCCTTTTGGATCTTCAAGTAGATGATGTCCAGCATGACTGTCCTCATGTAGTTGTATGATGGTAGCTTCACCTTCGGCCTCGCGTTCGCTACCTCCAGGTAAACGGCATGCAACGTCTGAGTCGTGTCCATGTTCAAGAAATTGAAAGCAATGYCAGCCCTGAACATGGCCTCCGCCCATGCAATGTCCAGCTTTTTCTGCGCCGCATTGTCCACCCAACGTCGCACAGTGGTCTGTCTCAAGGTAATCGTTCATGCTGTTGACCCTTGCCCTTCCTCACCGCCTCCGCTCTCCGCTGCACCTCCCGCGTCGACAGCCTCATCAAGTGCATCGGCGAGCATGTTTGCAATGCCGGCAACTGCCCGCCCTGCAACAGGCGGTGCCTGGGGCTCATCTGTTTGCAGATCTTCCAAACCTTCCTCTCCATGTGATGCATCACCACGATGCACATCCGATTCGGCCTCGCCTCCCTTGTAATTCCTCAACAAGTACTTCGTGTTCTTGTCGTTAGGCTGCACTTTCGCACCACCAGCAACCAAAGTGTGGACTATCTCGCCTGTCCGCAGTGCACACGGCCTCAACGTCTTCAAGAAATGCTCGGCAGCCTTGCTTGCCGACCCCCTTCAGATTGTCGAGCACAACCTGCACCTGACCCGGTACTCCCCCCTCCCTTTCGATGTGGCTACCTCCTGTCCCTGCTCACACCAGAGCCAAACCTTGTTTTTCTTTCCCAGCGCAACATGATCCGACTCACTCTTCGCCTGGAACAAGCTTGCGTCGGTTCCAGGGGTGGGCTCCTTTCCCCCGCCAACTGAAGTAGCCAGTGCAGATGTCGTCCTTCGCGTACTCGATTCAGGCTTGTCAACACCAGGCACTGCAGGTCCTTTAGCGTTTGCCGCTGCCGTTGCTCTTCGCCGGCTGCCTCGTTCTTCGCCGCCCCCCGTCATGGCCACCAGTGAGATATGACAAGAAGAAGAAGAAGAAGAGGATGAGGAGAAAAAAGTCGGCTTGGCTCAAGTTGGCTGTGGGTTTGGCTACGGTTGCAGGAGGAGAACGGGACTGCTGGACGAAGACCGCCAAGAATGAGTTGGAAAAAAAAAAATTGTCGCCTTTGGCTATGGCTACCGATGTGGGGGGGGAAGAAGAAGAAGAAGAAGAAGAAGAAGAAGAAGAAGAGGAGGAGGAGGAGGAGGAAAACGAACTAAAAAAAAAAAAAAAAAGTTGGCTACGGCTACGGTTGCAGGAGGAGAACGGGAGTGGAGGATGAAGACCGAGAAGAATAAGTTGCAGAAAAAAAAAACCGTCAACTTTGGCTATGGCTACGGATGTGGGGGGAGAAGAAGAAGAAGAAGAAGAAGAAGAATCAATCAATCAATCAATCAATCAATCAATCAATCCAACAATCTATCCAATCCGATCCAATCAATCAATCAATCAATCAATCAATCAATCAATCAATCGAATCAATCAAACAATCCATCAGTCAATCAATCAGTCAATCGATCAAACAATCCATCAATCAATCAATCAATCAACCAATCAATCAATCAATCAGTCAATCAATCAATCGCCTCCCCACCACCCTCTCTCTCTCTCTCTCTCTCTCTCTCTCTCTCTCTCTCTCTCTCTCTCTCTCT